CCTTCCACTGCGCGTGTTAACACATTGATTTCGGCCTTTTTTGCCAGTCTTACCTCCCAACTATCATGGAACAAGTTGTTCTACTATGTACAGATGTCAAGGTCAGGGTCAAGGTCAACCTAGGTCATCTAAAAACATTGTGCTTTAGGCAAGCTGAATTTACTTTTCGTGAGGTTTTAACCCGGCCGGGCCCGGGGGGTAATCCCAACCACCGCAGCCCGGGGGGGGGCGTTTTTCGCCCCCCCCCTGTCTAACTCCGTAAATAAGAGAGCTACGGAAACAAAAGCGATACCAAACGAAAGGTCCTTACGAGACGATTCTAATGCACCTAAAATTTTTGACCTCAGGTCAATTTTCAAGGTCAGAGGTCAAGGTCAAAGGCCAAAACCGGCACATGTGTAGTGATCTCAAAGTAAGCCTTCTAGAGGACGGCAGGCTGCATCAAACCGGCAAAATTGGGTGTCAAACGAAAGAAGAGAATCTGAGGATTCTGAAAATGTGCTCTAAATTAAAGGTCAAGGTCAAGGTCACGCTCAAAATTGACCTCAAACTTGGCACTTTTTCGCACATCTTGCGTGCTAACTTCCAAGATGTTTTGAAATGTTTTGAGGCTTATCAGTTCCCTATTTGTGGTTCATCTTACGATACAAGGCTGCTCAAAGGTCAAGGTCACACAAGAGTATCCCTGCTAGAGGCTATTTCACTTATTAAGTTAGTAATAATAAATAAGACAATTTTGCCATCCGGAAGCTCTAAATGAAGGCTTAGAGGAAAATAGATGCCAGATTCGTAATCAGCGGGTACAAATCCATCATAAACGACCTTTCATGTGTCAAGGTCAACCAGAGGTCATTCGAGGTCACATGAGGTCAACATGAAACTTGACCTTTTCCGAACAAAATATATATCATTCGACGCGGCTTGACAAGGCGAATGCGATGGTACCACTGCCGTAGCTCTAGGACCATTTTTGTCGAAGTTATTTGCGAAAAACTAAAACCACATTTCGGGTTCGTTGACCTGACCTCTGACCTCAGGTCACCAAAACTATTTTTCTATTTTTCTCTAGGTCAAACGCTACACAGCCGTGCTCGTAATTTGTCTTTATCTCTAAAACTCTATTTTTAGCAGCTATTTGAAGTTTGCGTCTGTGACGCCGAAGTTTGCCGTGCAGGGGTCTAGAAAAATGGACCTTGTGACGTCATCAAGGGGGCTAGGTCCAAATTTTTTACTTCAGAAGATGTCAAATTGATGGGAGAAAAGGTACTGAAAGTTTCGCCTTCCTATCCCTAAGCGTTCGGGAGTTATCGCAAATATTCGCCAGGGGGGGGGGCGAAAAAAGCCCCCCCCGGGCCCGCGAGGGTTAACCCTCGCCCGCACATGCCATTTTCCCATCCTAGAACGCACATGGGGGGGTTGCCACCCCCCCCGCGCCATTTCGTTCCTGTTGGAGATAGAGCTTATCGAAAAAGACCAAAAAGATTCTTTGGGAGGAGACGAATCCAATGATACCCAGTTTTACCTTCTCAGGTCAGTCATTGTTCTTCCAGGTCAGGTCAAACTAAAAAATGTTGCTGTTTTGGGTCACCGTTGGATATCAAGTGCGCTGCTTATCATATACCTACCGATGACGATGCCGTTTTCTGGTGCCAAGCCAGCTAGAACCTCGTCACACTACCCGACCAGGTTTTTGCTGCTGATGTCATTTCAGGTCAAGTTAGGTCAAGGTCAATTGTATGTGTTTGTATGTCTGTGTGTGTCTGTGTGTATACTGATGTGTGCACCGATTGTTTATGTGTCCATATTACATGAAATCATGATCTGAGACGCTTTTACCAAAAATGCAGTAAAAAAAATTCACAAAAAGTAAATTTCGCTTGCCTAAAACGCAATTATCTTAGATGACCTAGGTTGACCTTGACCCTGACCTTGACATCTGTACATCGTCGAACAACATGTTCCATGATAGGTGGGAGGTAAGATTGGCAAAAAAGGCCGAAATGAAGGTGTCAAAAGCTCACAAGGCCCATAGCCAACGCAAGATGTTGAGAATTGGCCATTTGGGTCATGACATGACCTGAAAAACAAGGTCATATCTCCGAAACCAAAAACCACAGAAACTTGAAATTTTTAGTGGACGTCAAAAAAGGATAGAGGAGCAGCTATACGAAAAATCAGCCTTCTAGCTTTAAAAATGTTGAGTGCAGAGCAGAAAGACTACCTGGGGGGGGGGGGTGGCAACCACCCCCATGTGCGGGCGAGGGTTAATTTGACGTCATCAATTTTGAACAGTTTTTTCGCTATAACTTCGCCAAAAAAAAGGAGGTATCGATCTTAAATTTGGTATGTATATCGGAAAGCGCAGGGACTATCACATATATTCTGTTTTTTTCGAAATTCGAATAGTTTTAGGGATTTTTTAGTTTTTCTTTTTTTAAAAATCATGCTTTATTTTTGGGGGAAAAATCCCAAAATTTTAAAATTTGAGATCACAGTTTTGTAGCGACGCCTTTTCTCTAAACAACCACATAAAGAACTGTAAAATTGCTTGTTAACTGTAGATTTGGTGAGCGTTTCAAGATGTCATGTTTTTTGCTCATTTTTACTCGAACATGACCTCAGTTTGACCTCAATTACTCCTGACACAAGGTGACCTGTGATTTGAAATTTCGTGTGAAGGTGTCAAATTGATGCCCGGGAAGGTATTGAATATTTGGCGGCGCTGTGCGTCGCCGTTTTCTCGTTAATTAAGAAAACCACAGGGGGGCCAAAATGCCCCCCCCCCCCCCGTCAGGGCGCGGGTTAAATAGCACATAGTTATCGCGCAAAGCTGGCCATCTACATAGTTACCATTGATAATAAATGAATGTGTGCCTTAAAAGGAAACGCAGACAAGTAGGTACCTATGCACCCAAACGTTCATGGTATAGTTATTGTCAAGCTCCACTATTGACGTTGATATGTTTAGGCAACTGACAAGCCTTAGGCACGGTAAGCAATAGTAGAAAATGCGAAAATGGTCCTATTTGCGCACGGGAAAAATAATAAATTATCCCTCGCGGGCCCGGGGGAGGGCGTTTTTCGCCCCCTCCCCCTTGGCGAACATTTGCGATAGCTCTCGAACGCTTGGGGATAGGAAAGCAAACATTCAGTACCTTTTCTCCCATCAATTTGACATCTTCTGAAGTAAAAAATTTGGATCTAGCCCCTTTGATGACGTCACAGGGTCGATTTTTCTAGACCCCTGCACGGCAAACTTCGGCGTCACAGGCGCGAACTTCAAATAGCTGCTAAAAATAGAGTTTTAGAGATAAAGACAAATTACGAGCACGGCTGTGTAGCGTTTGAACTAGAGAAAAAAAGAAAAATATTTTTGGTGACCTGAGGTGAGAGGTCAGGTCAACGACTCCGAAATGTAGTTTTAGTTTTTTCGCAAATAACTTCGACAAAAATGGCCCTAGAGCTACGGCGGTAGTACAATCGCATTTGCCTTGTCAAGCCGCGTCGAAAGATATATATTTTGTTTGGAAAAGGTCAAATTTTATGTTGACCTCATGTGACCTCGAATGACCTTTGGTTGACCTTGACACATGAAAGATCGTTTATAATGGATTCGTACCCGCTGATCACGAAACTGACATCTATTTTCCTCTAATACTTCATTTAGAGCCTCCAGATGGCAAATTTGTCTTATTTATTATCACTAACTTGAATCAGTGAAATAGCCTCTAGCAAGGATACTCTTCTGTGACCTTGACCTCTGAGCAGCCTTGCATTGTAAGATGAACCACAAATAGGGACCTGATAAGCGTCAAAACATTTCAAAACATCCTGGAACTTAGCAGCAAGATGTACGAAAAAGTGCAAAGTTTGAGGTCAATTTTGAGTATGATCCTGACCTTGACTTTTGATTTTAAGCACATTTTCGGAATTCTCAGATTCATTTCTTTCGTTTGACACCCAATTTTGCCGGTTTTATGCATCCTGCCGTCCTCTTAAACGCTTACTTTGAGATCACTACACATGTGCCGGTTTTTGCCTTCGACCTTGACCTCTGACCTTGAAAACTGACCTGAGGTCAAAAATTTTAGGTGCTTCAGAATCGTCTTGTAAGGAACTTTCGTTTGGTATCACTTTTGTTTCCGTATCTCCCTTATTTACGGATTTAGACAGGTGGCCGAAAAACGCCCCCCCCCCCCGGGCTGCGGTGGTTGGGATTACCCCCCCCCCCCCCGGGCCCGGCCGGGTTATTTTAGATGCAGCAACCTACGACACTCCCCTACCATACTACCGCTTACACATGCACTCATCGTTAGTGCATGACAACGCTGGTATATTGCATGGCAACGCTCCACCCTTTGACGATTGCTCCCTTATATAGCTTACTCCTGAGGGGAATTCGAAGTGCATTCATTTGGTTTCGTGCATTTCGAATGGACCTTATGTTATCCTGAGGTGAAATAGGTATACCTATATACTGTATACTATACAGTCATACTTGTCGCAGGTCGTAGACACAGTCAAGCTCATGTTCTTATTTATGAACGGTGCAACTTGGAGCATGAATACCTGATGCCATTGAATGTACACATTGCACATTGAATGTATATGAATCACCGGTAACACATGAAGTGCACGAATGTTGGATAGGTATGTCACGCCGAGTACTCCCATGCACGAAGCACTGCTGAAAACTGGAAGTCACACAACGCAATTATGTCCATGTTAGCACAATGTCCGGCTTATGCCTAGATTGTCACACGTTGGAATGTAACAATGAAACAATGAGCTTTGGGAAATCGTTAAACGGTAAATCATTCATGTGCTTCGTTGTGGAATAATTAAGCTCACTATTACATTTCAAAACGTGCCCCAGTATTTCGCCGGAAATATCTAGGACAGGTTGTATTACAGCTCACATGATTCCCTAGCTGCACCGAACATCACCCAACATTTTGCAGCTATACTGAAACGTGATAGTCGATCAGTACCTACGGTAACATCGGCAACATCGCACTCTACACAGCACAGGCCACATCGTGCTATCTAAAGCAGGGTGCTCACAGCAGCTCTTTACAGTAGCAAAACCTCCTCTCGTCGAAGTGCTCCTTCAGACATTCGCTCTGTCCGCGATAGAGGTTGAGCCTTGACACGTCCATGACGGAGAGCCTGTGGTGCGGTCGGCAGCGGCCGTCCAGCCCCTCCACTGCAGCAGTCCGCTGGTGGCTCTGCTCGGAGGAGCCGAGTCCCTGGAAACAGCGCACAGTGGACTCGAACTCAGCGAGACCGGGCTCCGTCACCAGTCGCACAGAGATCTCGTCGAAAGCCTCCAGTTTGTAATGAGTGTCCTTCACCTTCCCACCAGTCTCGGAGAGAGTCAGATATGCGTCGATCACTCGTAGCAAACGCAGCTCGGCGCACTGTGCTCGAACCTGGCGCAGCAGGACGTCGTTAATGTGACGCACGGTGGCGTTCGCGACGCGGCTGACGACATCAAGGTCAGGAGGAAGTGGTTGACGCACCCGGCACACGCACCACTGAGGTGCGATTCCAGCATCTTCGCAGGACCTCTCTTCGGGCACAGGCGCAAACAGACTATGCCCGGGGCCGGGGAAGACGGGCAGATCGGAGCTGGTCGCTCCGGCGTCTAAGAGAACGTCCCGCAACGTAGCGTGGACGTCAAAGAAGGTAGTCAGCCTCCGGGAGTTGGTGCGCAGGCTGGCGAGACGTTCTGGGTGGTCAGTCTCAAACCGCGGCGGTGGTACGATGTAGAAGAGCGGCATCCTCGACTCGTACCCACCCAGTTCTGTACGCATGATGGGACCGAAACGCATGCCGTGGTCGCTAAAAAGGATCAAGATCGACGAGTTGTAGCGTCTTGAGGTACGGTACGTCTGCAGAAACTGGAGCAGACGAGGCTGCAGTGGTCTGATGTGGCTAAGAGGACCTTTGTGGCTTGGGGAGTTGCTGAACACGAGCGCGAATTGCGGAGACGGATCTGGTTGAGCGATGAGGTCTTCGAGCCACTGAAGCTGGAGGTCAAGCGTGAGGCGACCGTTCACACAGTGGTTGCCACTACGCTTTGCCAGTTTTGAACGATGTATTGCCAGGTACAAGTGCCGACCGTAGTGGTCAGTAGGCTGGGAGAAAAATCCTTTCTTCATGTAATTGAAGGTGGAGAAGAGAGGCTCGTCTTCCATGTACAGAGTTACGTAGTCTAGAGCGGCAAACGACTTCCATATGAAAGGCTGATGGTCAAAGGGGCTGCCACGCAGAGACTGGTTTAGTTGATTCACAGCCAGACCCGTTAGCAAAGGCACTATATTAGGAAAAGTATTAACACCAACCTTAGTAAGTCCCGTCATCGGTATTGCACGAAGCTCGTTTTCGAGGACCTGCTGAACTTTTGGCAAATAGCGCTTGAAATTCAATGTGGAAATTGAGTCTAGTCCAACCAAGTATACGCCAACCTTCTCTTTGTTCTTGACATCACTTTTGGGTTGTGAATCCGTATTGTTGGCCTTAGGAACGATGAATGTTCTGAAATCCTCGTACAATGTCGCCTTTGGAGTGGTTGAACAGAAGCATCTCACCCTAATGAACTCGTCTGTGACGTTTAGTGTGGATTCGCCCCGGAAACATGTCTCTTTAACTCCAAATCGGAACGCGTCGTCGGACCTTCCATCCTTGTCTCGAGCCACGCTGCGCATGCAACATTCTGGCTGGCAGCCTCCCTTCAGACGGGAATGATGGACCTCCATGGTCAGCTGCAGTCCACGCTGGGTCAGGGTGATCGGCTGGTCGTGGGAGCATTCCTTCAGAGGCGTCTCCTTCTGTAGCATATCCCGGATGGTGTCATCCCACGGATCAAAATCCGGCAGGTGACAAACGCTTGAATTGACGATCAGGCCTGTTACCCGAGGTCGAGGCATTGACAACGAGGCATGGTGTTCAGGTAGAAACTGTAGAAACTGCGGCTGATGTTGAAGGTCTGAATAGGACAGCAGAATCAAAATACAGCATACTATAAATGCGAGAGGGATGCCAATTCGAATCAGCTCACTAGCAGTAACCTTAGTCATGATGTTGACCACTAGCTTCCGCTGCCACTTGCCTGGACCATATGCCACTGTCCGACACTGGCTCACTGGAGCAGCTTGTTGAACTCCTCCGGCTCGCTGGAATAACTCGCTTGGTTCCTTCTCCGGCTTCCTAGAGTGGCTCACTTTAACCCGACACGTGTTCTCTGGAGCGCGACACTGGCTCGTTGGGACCCGACCCTGGGTCGCTAGTGTCCGACACAGGCTCGGTGGAGTTCGGCACAGGCTCGTTGGGACCCACGACTGGCTAGCTGGAACCCGCCACCGCCTCGCAACCCGAAAGTGCGACTGACCGTCGATGGCGTACGGGTTTATGACGATACGCTATCGTTACTGGCCGCTGCAATCAGCTCGGCACCTGTTGCTACACCCATGCAACATGGGCTCAAAGGCTTATGCTCAGCGAATACCTGCAGGTATGCCATTGCTTGCATCCCAATTTTTGTACATTACATCAAACTGCGCTTCAAGTACATACCTGTAAAAAATGGCATCCCGGTGTGCTAGTCGGATGCTACGGTTATGGAACAAGAGCCCTGGGTGCTTAACATGCACTGAAAATGTTCTACATTAAGCAGTCTAAGACTCTTAGGTACTTGTCTAAGTTCCGTATTTGAAAATTTGCCCGCACTTTAACCCTCGCCCGTATTGGTGTTTTTCCAGCCGCGAACGTATAAGGGGGTCCGTTGGACCCCCCCCTTGCCGTTTCGCCCCTGATCGAGCTAGAGCTTCGCGGAAAAAAAACGAGCGTGCTGCCCGTGACGAGAGGAAGCCAATGATACCCAATTTTAAGGTCCTAGGTCATCGGTTGACCTTCCAGGTCAGGTCAATGACCCAAAAGTCGGGAGAATCGGGACCTGTTAGAAAGTCGTAAAGCGTGGCTGCTATGGGTTTTTTCGGGGTGCTGATTACGAATATCATGTTAGTTTTGATCACAGATGATGTCTTTATGCATTTAGGCCAGGTCGGGTCAGGTCAGGTCAGGTCAACTTTAAGGGTATTCGTAGTAGGTGGCAACCGCCTCTGACAGCTTCGTAACATGTTACGAAGGTGCCAAAACTACTTCGTAAATGTTCATATGGTTGCTAAATTCGAATTCAGCTTAAAAAAACTGGCCTAGAAACGTGTAAAACTCGAAAAAGTGAACCGAGGTCATCAAAGGTCAGTGACCTGGCCTGACCTTCCGGTGACCTTGACACCCACCCTAATGCATGGGAGCAGCATCATATCCCATGTTTGAACGCTTAAAACCACGAAAAGACTGCAAACGCGTGGCTAATGCGAGCCGACATACGCCGAATCGCGATTCCGGCCAACCATGGTTTCGAAAAGTAGGTCACAGGTCAAAGGTCATTATGGTCAGGGTCATGAAAATTTTAGGGTAGGTGTAAAATTGATTAACGCGAGGGCACTGAAAGTTTCGTCGCGATCGGCCGCATTTTACGCGAGTTATTCGCGAAAAACCGAGGGGGGTCCGTTCGACCCCCCCCCCCTATACGGGCGAGGGTTAACCCGCAAGTTGTTGGGGGGGGGCGTTAAACGCCCCCACTTTTTTCGCCGGGCTATAGCACAAAAACGGCCCGCCGCAGGCGCCCTAAATTTTGGGTATCTGTAGTGAATTGATTGAAGTTTATTGTGACAAAGTTTCAAAAAATCGTATGGAAAACTTTTGAGATATCGAGGTTTTAGTGACGTCATGATTTCTGAGTTTTCGACCAAAAACGGCATATGTTCAAAAAATCATATAAAATCACAGAATTCCAGCTCTGAAGTTTGATCATGGTGCTTAAAACTGACATACAGACATGCCATAAACGCCATTAGAATGCAAATACCATTAACAATCAGATGGCTATCTTCGATTATTGATTATCGTTTCGCAGTTTCTAAAATCTTGAACTGAATCTTGGCAATTTCTCGTGACTACTTCACGACCATGATACATGCATTTCTTAAATTGAACTTTTTTAGCCCAACACGTACACATATGATAAAATGAATATCACCATCGTTTTCTACGCCCCAAATTACCCATAAAACATGTGTCACAGGCTGCGAATATCAGTTTTGATTTTCGGGGATATGTGCCTACCCGGTTGACCTGACCTTGACCCTGACCTATGCTTGACTGACCCCTACATGGAGCTGACACTCTTGTAGGCCTTATACTCGTATGATGGATTGTGCACCGTTTTGACAGAGTTTATGACGAGAGGCGCCCATTGCGAAGTCCTGAGGTCCATGCTACTGAAAGCCCGATTTCAAGTACTCACCTGAAGCGTCTCGTCGCGTTCTTTTGTTTGCCGCCTCGTGCGTTTCGCTGTGCCTATTGTTTCTCGAGTTATCGGCTGGGGGCGTTTAACGCCCCCCCCCCCCCAGCAAACGGTGGGTGGCGAAATACCCCAGCAACTGCCGGGTTAAGCATTTCCCTGCTTCAAGGGTGCTTGGAATAGCGCCAACGCACGGATGGTGCTAATCTAAGCATCAGTTTTAAGCACCATGATCAAACTTCAGAGCTGATGAAAGCACCCAAAACATGCTTCATCAGTTTTGGCGGGAAGATCGCATCCTTTCGGTGCTTATTGGTTTCCTTTTTCAGCATCTGGGTGCTTACGTCGTACGAAAAAAGCAGCGAATTCAGAAAGCGCGCGGGATTCGCGATGAACTGTAATCTTTGTACAGTCAAATAGACGGCAGACGTGGCCTGCATAGCGGCGCCCATATGTTGTGATTTATCAGCTTATGTTATAATGCCAGGGGAGCGGCCCTGTGGCACTGTTCGCACGTACGTGCTGATATTCTGTTGTTGTTTTTTATTTTTTAAAGGTGCTTTGTGACTAATAAGTTTACGCTTGTGCTTAAATTTAACTCTATATAATAACCGTCATACGTGATGTCCATTACCATAAATAAATGACAAACAAACGAACAACTAAACGTGTTTGCAGCATGAGGTAGGCATTAAGAATCGCAATGTTCCTTTCGATTTAGCTCGGCTTTCGGCCCGCGGCTACGTCCCCCGCCGCCACTCTTGAAAATGCATCTAAGTTTTCTCGCCAGACGAATGAAAGTCTCGCGGGTGAATATCGAAATCACCAATCCGAACTACAACCAAGAAAGCCATTTGTCCATAGCAAATACATTGTGCCCTTATCGCCATGGGTTGAGTTTATGACATAATTTGTACTGATGCATCAATTATTATCCTGACAGTTGTTGGCGTATTTCACCACCCACCATTTGCTGGGGGGGGAGGCGTTAAACGCCCCAGCCGATAACTCAAGAACCGATAGGTGCAGCGAACGCACGAGACGGCAAACGAAAGAACGTGACGAGACGCTTCTGATGAGTAGTTGACAATTGAATTTTGAGGTCACAGGTCGGGTCAAGGTCAGGTCAAACACCTGAAATTGGGCTTTCAGTAACATGGGCCATGCAGCTCGTGCTGGGCGTCTCTCGTCATAAACTCTGTTACGACTGTGCAAGATATTTCATATGAGAGCTACACGAGTGCCAAATCCATGTAGCACGGTTCGTCGGAAAGTCATTTCATCCACAAAAGAAACGAAATATACCATTCGAAAGCTCTGAGGGTGAGCTGATTCCAAAAAAAAATATTTTTATCGATATCGTTCGATGGCCTTTTTCAAAAATTGGATTTTTGTAAAAAAAAGTAATAATTTTGTATTCAACGAGCCGTCCAGGATAGTCTTGGAATCATAGGCATGTTTTTTCGTTTTCCAGTGAAAGCTGAATACCAAAGTAGCAATATGCAGCAATAAAATATTCTCAAATATTAAAGGGACTATCCCACCTTTAACCCGGCAGGCGGTGGGCCTACCAGCCACCTTCCGCGCGGTGGGGGGGGGGCACTTTTTTGCCCCCCCCCCCGTATCTCCGAAACTACTGGACGGATCCGGAAAATTCAAACGGCGTTCGATAGCCCTGTCAAATTTGTCAAGGGAAACCAAATTTCATTGACCTCGGGGTCACCGATGACGTCACAGGTCAGGTCAAAGATAAAATGTTTCACCGTTCACGGGGCTTCTAGGGAAAGCGCTATAACACCGAGTAAAACGCATTTTGTCGAAAATCAGCGATAAGGCGTCAGTTGTCTAGTACATATGTTGCTATTAGAGGTCACTGGTCATACCAGGTCAGGTCACAGGTCAGGTCACCAAAGGTCACCAAGGGTCACCACATGAGCCCAACTTTACTAAGGTTATGCGATGCATGTTTTATGGCCAGTTTTTCATTTCCAACTCAATGGTGTTGGTTATAAGACCATCAGGTACGGTTTAGGTCACTTTCTGGTGGAGGTCAGGTCAAGGTCAGGTCAAAAAGGTCAAATTTCAAAGTTGATATTTTTGCATAAAATCGGTATCGATTCGATGCAGCTCGTCACGGGGAGTCTAATGGTGGTCTTTGTTTTGCGCTACGAGGTCTAGAATTGCTAAAAATTGAGTTTGAAAATTTGACGTCATCAATTTTGAACAGTTTTTTCGCTATAACTTGGCCAAAAAAAGAGGTATCGATCTCAAATTTGGTATGTAGATAGAAGGCGGTAGGGGATATCACATATATTCCGGTTTTTTCGAAATTCAAAATTTTTTTGGATTTTTAGGCTATTATATTCGAAAAATCTATTTTTTGATTTTTGGGGGTCAAAATCCAAAAAATTCGAAAAACCGAAATAGCAGTTTTGTAGCCCTCTTAATTCCACACCTTTTATGTCTGAAACATTTTTCTGTATCTCTAAAGCTGTAGGCCTGACAGCTCTTCCCGCGAAACCTTTTTTTGGGTCGAAAATGGCA